CCCCAAAACCCCAAAACCCCAAAACCCCTGAGACAGTGTGTTTTATTGAAAATATTTTCATTGATTACATAGCTCCATGACAAATAAAATTATTCTGAAGTAAATTATTAATGATTCCATCCGAAAATACCAGATTTTAGCCTCCTCAGACTTTTTGTGTTAAGCCTCTTTAGAGTGGTCGCTTGAATCTTATTGGCCGAAAAGTCACTGTACTTCCTAGTTAGTCAGTAATGCTTAGAGTTTATTTTCTCTTTAAACTTTTTCATATACATCTCTGTCTTAGAGATAGTCTTCTGCTTCTTTTCCTTACTAGAAAGATACAGAATTGTGCCTTTAGAAAATTTAGGTTTTAACAAAGTCGAGTCCTAAAGATGAGGGCAAGAAAATATACTTTAACCTTCCCTGGATGTTTCTTGGTAAAATCTTTGTACCTTTTCATCCCAGATTCTAGAAATAATACATTGAATCACTTGAACCATCACTCAGATGAGGTAGACTAGATTTTATATTCTCGCATGAATAAATCCTCTCATAAATATTTTTCGCTGGTAATTTTACACCCTCAATATGATTTGATATCTTAAAGCTCTTGCTTTTCTTCTTCCTGCTTAGCAAATTCAGGATCTTCTTTCCCTTCACTGTTTTCTTCCTCTTGAGCTGCTCCATTCGTGCTTCTTCAGCTGTATTGTTTTTGGTTCGGAATTGGTTGACCACTTCTTGGGCAAACTTAAGTTCGTTCTTGATGTCTTAAAATTAAGGCCTAAAATTACGAGTCTTCTTATTAATTAACTTGTTGTTTTTCAATATAATCAACTTGGACTTCTTGAGTCTAGGCCTTGAAGAGCCATTGTTATCAGTACTGTTTTCTTGCTTTTCCTTATCTAAATGATGTGACAAGGATTACATACATTTAAGGTATGCTTGATAAGCATGCTTGAGTAGCCATTTCTTCCAACAATTTTTTACCTCCAAATACTGCATATAATTCTTCTGGGAAAGCTGGTATTTCTCAATAACCTGGACCCTTATGGGATTGACAGAATTCAATGATAGCTTATTCTTAATAGCATCTAGCTGCATTTCCTTTCTGCTATGTTTCCGTTTATGTGTGAAAGATATTGGATTTAAAGTGGATAGTCCTATATTGGTATATATAACAAATCACCAATACCTGCAAGTGTGTGCAGATTCGTAACTGAGCCTAATTTTCTCCTTGGTTCTCTGATCAGTTCCTTCTTATTTCTTCTCTAGAGTTTACTAAACATAGCTTACCCCATTTGGAGTTATAGCTTTATTTTTTTGGGAAGTTTATTCACTTGAAAACCATTATTCCTCTTTTTGATAAAATGAGTCAGACCTCTGGCTCTTTTCTTCCGACGATATTGTTTGTCATCCGAGTTCTTTGCAACTGGAATTTTCAGGCGATCCACAGTTGTTGTCTAGAAGAAGCAAGGTAAATTTGATATTTAGAAAGATTAGAAGATGGTTCTGAGACTCTTTAAACGGTACATCCTGGTGTAATTACTTTAATAACATTAATCCCGAAATTTATAGTATTTGATAATAAAACTTGGTGTGGGAATGGAATTCAATCAAAGAATGGACTTTAGCTTACCTGAACTATTACTTTCTTCCTAGATTTAGACTCAGATGAGGCTTCTGATACACTAGACACACTAGCGAAAGAAATATTTTCACTAATAGTTTTGCTCCTCCTCAACTTATTCTCCATTTTATCCAGTGAAATTATTTTTGTACTGAAGTTAATTTTGGGCATTTTCCCTCTAATCATCTACAACAATTGATAAAATTCTGAGTTGTTACTAAAAATGACCTTCTTGGTCCATTCACAAGCTTTATTTTAAATAAAAGTGATTTGGTGAAGAGAGCTCATCTTACGTTTATCAGATTTAAGATCGATTAATAATATACAATCTGTAATTATTTATTAGGGGTTTTGGGGTTTTGGGGTTTTGGGGTTTTGGGG